AAAAGGAATGCGGGTGTGAAGAGAGGTAGTGAGTGGGTATGTAAAGTAGGGCAAATCATAACTAAAGCCAAAATGTTTCATTATTTTAGTTATTATTTTAGTTATACTAAGTTTCCATTTATATTGTCAGAGCTAAGGCTCGGACCCTCCAAACCCATTGTACAGACTGGGTCACCAGAGCCCTCACATGCCAGGCTGGGTCCCCAGATCCCTCACACTCAGGTCCATGCTAGGCAATTGGGAAAGATCCCAGGTGCCGTTGACAGATGACCTGAGCTCAGTCCTCAACTTCCTCAGTGGCAGCAACTTACAGGTCCGGTAGCTTACAGGTCCGGCAGTGGCCTTGCAGAGGGTCCCGGGGCACTGGAAGCAGCAGCCTCCAGCAGCAGTAGTGGCCTCACCATGCCCCCCATGGGGGGCACCCTGGGAATGAGAAGCGCTGTGGATCAGAGCCACTCATCCTTATACTTAAGTCCATAACCCAGGACACCGGGGTGCACATGCGCAATTACACTAGATGATGACCAAGGAACACCTGAGTGCACATGCCTATTTACATCAAATGCTCGGCAAGATTCTGAATATCTGAGGGGCCCTGACCATTTTTCCTATATTTTCCCAACAGGGTATCACAGGGTTTTCAGGTGGCTTGAGTCAGAGGTCATGGTCCCATGATGAACAGGGTTCTCGGCATCATGGGGTCTGTGGCCAGTGGTCTGGTGAGCCTTAAGTCACTGAGCCTTAAGTTATTTCGAGGCTAAAGTGTTATTTCCTGGGGTGTGGGAAACTCAAAGACAATGACCTTAGTCAAGCATCACTGGAACTTTAAAGTACCTGACTCAGACCCTTGACTAATGTACAAGCCTAACACAATCTTCTCCAAGCAAGAGAATAGGTGAATAATCAGCCTGGACTTTCTTTGGAATGTTGGAAAAGGTTGATTAGGGAAGCAGGAGANTGAATAATCAGCCTGGACTTTCTTTGGAATGTTGGAAAAGGTTGATTAGGGAAGCAGGAGAACAGGAGAGAGACTCAGCTCTGATTCATAACCCTTATGTTTACTGAAGTTTAAGTAAATGGGCACAGGGAGGAAAGAGAAAACTTTTAAGACATATCCCTATGGGAGCTTGGTTTCAGTCCCCAACCTTTTATTTTGTTTTCCTCATTGTTGGGGAGTTTGGGATGTCATCCTCACCTAGCTGCATCCTAGTAGAGGTGGTCATCATGGAATTATTGAGAGGAATGTAACTGATATGCTTTTAATTCAAAGTATTCTTATGTGATAGGGCTATGATTGAACTGAGATTGAAAGAGAACATTAGTCACAGGTTTCATGCATCGTTGTGAGAGTCTGTCTTGTAAGCTTAAAAAGACATTGCAACAACAATATTTACCGCAGCATAAGCAAATGCCAATTATTATAATGATTGCAAGAACTATAAGATGCTTTTTCTACCAGGACATCCTGGAGCCACCAAATCAGGAGGATACCCCATTGTTTAGAGATAACATGGGGGCAGATAGAGCATTTACTTGTTTGTGCATATCCCCTAAAACTACGGAAACATTTCCAGAGTTATATGTATACATATACACAGCATTCGGTCTTAATTATGGCACAGATATCTCCTTGTGCTGCGTGAGGACATCTAAAGCCATTCGGTTTTGAAGAATGGCTTTCCTTATTAGTCCCAATTCTGAGTTAAGAAGAAGGGTACTTTCTATAGTATCATTAAGATCATGGCCTGTGTACTTGGTGAGAGCCTCAGTGTGCCAGATCACATCTTCTATACCCAGCTGGGGCATGAAGAAAGTGGAAGGTAGATGGGCTCCAATGATGGACTGGGTGGGGCTAATTGGCAGGTTTAGGTATAGTTTTGAACCAACAGCCTTGCATCCAAGTTAGGCCTGAAGTACATCTTCTCAACCATTCAAGTGGTAGCCAGGGCCATAGATTCATCCCACATAGACATTCAGTTCCATTTGGGGCTGGCCAACAAATACCAGACCTTCTTTCCCAATCTGTGGCATACCAGTCAGTAGCTTTTAGTACAGTAATATGGTTACATTGTTTTGAGTTTAGCCAAACTATTTCCAAGATACTATTTATCCAGTGGTCATAGGGATGATTTCCTTGTTCCTAACAAAAAGGAGCAGTCTGGCTAAGGTAACCCACACTTTGAACTAGCCTAATGAATTCATTCCGTATTTGTAGAAACCCCTCTGGATTATACCTGGTGTAAGTAGTGAGCAGGGTGAGAACTTTAGGGTCGTCGGATCCCAGTTGGGACTTTGCATACTCATAAACCTTCTGTTAAGTCTGTTCAAGGGAGAAAGATTTCCAAAGCCAGGCAGATGCCAGGTGTCATTAATTCCTGGCCACTGGGAAACATCTTCTTTGGTAATTGTTAGGTCTTGTAGGGTGAAGGTGTAATTCATATGTTCCCTAATAAGGTTTTGTAATTGTTTCCAATCAGTTCCCTGTAAGTGGGATACCCATCAAGGGAGTCCTGATGTGCTCTTGAAGGGCAGCAGCCCACAGATCCAACAAGAATCCTGACGCAGAGGATCTACAATGATGTGCCCACAGCAAAAACAGGTTGGGACCTCCTCCAGCAACCAGAGGTACTCCATTTAATAAGTTTGTTATGAAGAAGGTCTTTTTCTTAAATTTCAACTTACGGTCTGATATTGGCTGTATCTCCCAGCTGGATTTTGGCAGGGGAGGTGAGAGTGAATGGAAAAGCTTTGCCTGGATGTATCCCAGTCAGATTTACAGAAGAGTGGGTGGTCAGTCAGTAAGACTTCAAAGGGTCCAATCCATTGAGGTTATAGTTAGTCATCTGGATGATGATTTCTCCAAGTCCTCGGCAATATTTGGTCACTGGGCTTCCACGGGTGTAGAGGCACATCTTTGGGAAATTGGAGCCTGTCAGAAGAAAACCTCTGAATAATGGTTAGTACAGATCTTAATAGTTTAATATAGTTATGCAATTCAAGTTCCTGGGGAACAAAGTCTAAGTGTAGGATACCCAGGCTCCTGGAGGAGGTGTCTCCCATATAGAATTTCAAAGAAGCTAAGGCTTACTTCTGGGGTAACACTTATTCTCAGCAGGGCAATGGGTAACATTGTGTCCCAAGTTAAATTTGTCTTCTGACATAACTTAGCAAGAGTCTTCTTCAGGGTCCAATTCATTCTCTGTTTTTCCTGTAGACTGTGGCCTCCACAATGAGTGGAGTCTCTAGTTGATGTTTAGAAATCGGGATATTTCCTGGTTTTTCTTAGCAACGAAGCCAGCCCCACTGTCACTTTGCAATGTTTGCGGTAAACCAAACCTCAAAATAATTTCCTTTAAAGGGCTTTTGTTACCTCGAGTTCCTTCTCAGTCCTGCAGGTAAAAGCTTCTACCCATCCAGTGAAAGTGTCAACTAAAACTAGTAAATACAGGAAATTTCCAGGAGCCTTGGGCATAACTGTGAAATCTAATTGCCAGTCCTCTCCAGGACAAGTTCCTCTCTATTGAGTGCCCATGTTATAGGGAGGCTTTTGTCCATCAGGATGCTTTGGATTATTTATTATGTAGATGGGACAGCACTGAGTAATTGTCTGGATTCACCTCTGGATGTTGGGTTCAGAAAGGTAAGGTTTTATCTATTGCAGAGTAGCTTCTCATCTGAAGTGGGTACTCTGATGGATTTGTGTGAGAATGGGTCTAGTTAAAACCTGTAAGAAGGACTTTCTCTTCTTGATTACCCATCTGGTTTGAATTATTATTTTTAGAAAACCCCCATTTTTCTGCCCATTTTAGTCAGTCTTGAAGAGGTGTATATGAGTCTAATTCCAATTTGGGGCCTAAGGGCAGAATTGCTTTGCAACTAAGTCAGCTTTATTGTTTCCTAAAGTTTAGTAATTATCTTTTGGTGCCCTCTGCAAAGTACAATGACTGTTTCCTTAGGCAGTAAGATTGCTCAAAGGAGTTCTAGAATTTGTACTGCATGTTTAACTTCTTTGTATCCAGAGATAAGGACTCTTCCCTCTTCCCAAATGGCTCCACGGGCATGTAGTACCATGAAGGCATATTTAGAGTCTGTGTAAATGTCAAGGTGTTTGTCCTTTCCTGAAGTCAATGCCCTAGTTAGGACAATTAATTCACCCTTTTGTGCTGATGTACCTGGGGGTAAGGCTTGGGCTTCTATTACATGTTGGCTGGTAACCACGGCATAACCTGCATTCTGTTGTCTGAGTTCCATGAAGCTGCTCCGTCAGTGCAGAATTCTTCATCTGGAGAGGACAAAGTCTGGTCAGTCAGGTCTGGGTGGCTGGAATAAACCAGGTCAATTAATCTGAATACAATCATGGACCCGTGGTTCAAGTTAGCTGGAAGGAGGGTGGCAGCGTTTAGGAGGGATACCCCCGTTAATGTAACGTTGGGATTGTCCAGCTCCATTAAGGTAACATTGGGATTGTCCAGCAATACGACTTGGTATTTGCCTAATCATCTGTCAGCCAACCAGTAATCCCCGTTAATGTAACGTTGGGATTGTCCAGCAATACGACTTGGTATTTGCCTAATCATCTGTCAGCCAACCAGTAATCCCTTTTCTGTTCCAACAATGGTAAAACATAATGCACAGCATGCACAGTTACAGGCTGTCCTAGGGGAAATTTTTCTGCCTCTTGCAGCAGGTTACAAATAGCAGCTGCTGCCCTCAAACATGTGGGCCATCCTTTTGTCACAACACCTAATTGCTTAGAAAAATATGTTACTGGTCATCCCTTAGGTTTTGGATTAGTACCACTAGTCCTATACCTTGTTGTTCCTGGACAAATATGTCAAACAGCTTGTGTGAATCCAGGAGCCCTAAGGCAGAAACTCTAATTATCTTTTCTTTGATGTTTAGGAATGCTCTGTGACATTCCCCAGTCCAGGTTAATGATTCTTTTTTCTTTCCCTTTCAAGGCTTCATATAGGGGTTTAACTATTAGGCCAAAGTTAGAAGTCCATATTTGGCAAAATCCTGCCATGCCTAGAAACCCACAAAACTGCCTCTAGGTTGTTGGGGGATGGTTTACCCTGGCTAGTGCCTCTGTTCTCTTGGGAGGAGGCTCCGAGTTCCTAGGGACATCTCAAAGCCCAAGCACTGGATTGTGGGAAGTGAAATGTGGGCTTTCTTTTGAGAGACCTTATATCCTTTCTTTGCCAGGAAGTTTAGGACAATTATAGCATGTTTGATGGAATGAATTTCAGTTCAGCTAGCTACTAAGATATCACCCACATATTGCAAAACCATTCCACTTTCCAAAGATGACCTTCCTTAAGTCTCTGGCTAGTGTTTCTTCAAAAATATTGAGGGAGTTTTTAAATCCTTGTGGGAGCACTGTCCAGCAGTACTGTTGTTTAGCTTTAGGGTTCAAGTTTTCCCATATAAAAGCAAATAGCTCTTGGTATTCTCAATCCAGAGGGATACAAAAGAAAGCAGCTTTTAAGTCTATTACTGGATTTCTGGACAGCATAGTCATCAGAGCATAGGGGTTAGCACTATTGTATGTATAAGTTTAGTGAACTTGATTTATAGCTCTGAGGTCCTGGACAAACTGATATTCAAACTGTCCCAGGTTTTTGGATAGGCAAAATGGTGGTATTATAAGTGGAGTAGCAAGGCCTGGGAGCCCAAACTTTAGAAAAGCCTTGACTAAAGGTTGAATACATTGTGGGGCTTGTGATTTATGAGGATATTATTTAATTCAAGGTGGGGTAATTCCTGGCTTTGCCTCAATGTGTATTGGGTCCTCCTGTGCCCATCTGGGTTGTCCTCTTGCCCATACCTTGTGGTCGACTTGATCAAGTGCATCAGAGGGGACCATGGAGAGGTTGCTGGCATAGCGAGTAAGGCCACTTGCAAATCAAAGGCATTCTTTGGTGGAACTTTGATGTCCATGTGTCTTGGCTGAAAAATCATTTGAACACAAACTTTTGTAAGGAGATCTCTTCCCAGAAGTAGAAAAGGACATTCAGGCATAAAAAGGAAACTGTGAGTCAAAGAGGTAGTCCCCACCATACAATGTAATGGCTGTAGAAAGATTTTTTGTAGAGGCTTTCTGGTCCTTCTCATTACTAGCACAACATTCTTTGTAAATTTGACCAATTTTAGGTTTGGCACTGAGTATGTCACTCCGGTTTCAATTAGGAAATTGATCAGCTTGTCTCCCACCTTTAAGATTATCCTGTGCTCTTGGTGGGAAATGTTGACCACAGGCTAGAGCCCCCATGGTTTTTGGTGAGCCTGTGACCCATGGGCCCCAACAGTCCATCTTTACCATCAAGTCCTCCCATCTATAGGCAGGTCTTCTTTTCTTTTTGATTTGGGGCAATATTTATGCTAATGTCTGTCTTCCTTGCAATAGGCACATTGGTTTTTGCCTAAAGGGGGTCTCTCTCCCTTTTCTTCTGGCCCTTGAAGTTTTTGGACTTTCCTTTTAGGGCTCTTTTGATTTTGAATCAAGGGTGCCACTGGAAATTTTATCTTTTATCTCAGCTCCTGTATCTTCTTTTTGTCTTTCTGTTGTTCCTTTATCTGCTCTTTATGAATACGTTATAAGCCATTCCAACTACGTAATATATGAGCATCATAAGAGAGCCTTCCAATTTTTGTAGTTTTTATTGAATACCTGGCATACTCTGAGTTTTGAAAGACAATATTGATTAATCAGGTGTTTTCTGGTTGTCCAGGTCTACATCAGTATGTTCATGATAAGCCTCAAAGATTCTCTCAAGGAAGTCAGAGGGACTTTCATTTGGTTCTTGTCTAATCTCATGGACCCTGTTTAAATTCTTAAGTTTTGGGATTCCCTTCTTCAGTCCTACCAAATTGCAATCCTGGTAGTGTTGGAGTTTACCTTCATCTCCATTATTAGGGTCTCAGTGGGGGTCATGGATTTGTATAGCCAGGCCTGCTTCAGTTCTCAAGTGGTTATTTGGGTCTTCAGGATGGAGCCAATTGGCTTCCTCTAGAGCTTTTTCTAGGATGATCCAATGTTCCTCTGAGGTAACAAAATACTTAAAAGACTTTGAATATTGCCTCGGTGGGGTGAGGGTTGGTAAAGATGGATTGAAATAGCTCAGTTACACCTGTTGGATCATCCTGGTATGGTGGGTTCCAGTCATATAAGTTCGAAGTAGTAATTGGACTATAGATCCATGTTAGTCCAGCAGGCTGTGCTCGTTCACTGAGGCCCCTCTATGGGAACTTTCTCAGTGGAAATTGTGCTGCCAGAATAGTGGTTAGCTCCTGGCCAAATCATGTACCTGTCTGGTGTGGAAGGAGAAGATCATTTCTCCTGACTTTTCTGGAGTAGGTTCTGAAAAGAGGGCAAGAGAAGGATATGAGAAAGAAGGTGTAAGAGTCAGGGCTTCAGACTCATAAAGAGGGGAACGTAGGGCACTTCAGCCCATTTCCCCATCTGATGGCAATAACATTCTAGCTGCTGTATTATAGTTTAAAGATGCTTTAGGGGGACAGATTTCGTCTGACCTCCGTGGATACTGGGGCCGAACATAAAAATATTATCTTTTTCTTTTTCATGGATTCATAACTATATTCTGACCAGTCTTGGAGGATGTACCTGAATGGGTTCCAGAACTTTGTGACCAAATTCTGAGTTCTCATGGTTACAAAATGTAAACAAGCCTTCAAAACACAGGTGAAAGCAAATGAACTATAAGCAATTTTGAACTATGAGTGAACCATGAACAATTTACCCAAGATATAGACAGACAGAAATAGGTGAATTGCAAAAAAAAAAAAAAAAAAAAAACCCAAACAAATGGCAGTTCCTTCTTAGGAAGCTTGGGGAGGGGAGTGTGTTTTTTAATCAGCCCGGGTAGCTTCCTCTCAGACAGTTGGTAGGGGGCTCCTTCTACCCAGATAGGACTTCCCCTAAGGGACTTCCCCAAAGTGAGAGAAGCATTCCCCACTTTGTGGTACCCCAAACAGCACTCACCCATTCTGACACTGATCAAATTTCAAAAACACATATGATTGAGATCTGTTCTTTGATGGCAGATAAGGAGTGTGATAGCAACCGGTGGTGGCCAAACCAGTGGGAGAGAGCCCGAGGCCTCCTTCTGACAAAACAGGTCAAGTTGATGCTAGGAAGGCATTGGGGGCCCTCCCCAGCTCAGAGATCCCTGAGCCACAAGCAACTCAGGCCATACAGTTGGATGCCGAAATCTGTAACCAAGCCAAAAAGATCTAATTGAGTTCAGTTGCTCCTCATGCCAAGAGCCAATCAGAGAGACAAAAATTAGTGCCAGGAAGAAGGACTTTATTAACTGCCAGGAGAATAAGTGAGCACAGTAGCGATGTCAACCTGCCTCCCCGACTGACTACAGTTTAGGGTTTTTAAAGGGTAGGGAGGCAGAAAGGTATGTCCAGGGAGGTGATAAAGGGGATCACAACATTTGAAGTTGGCTCGAGTCAGAGGTCAGGGTTCCATGATGAACAGGGTTTTGGCATCAGGGGGTCTGTGGCCAGTGGTCTGGTGAGCCTCAAGTCCTTGGTGTTATCTCAAGGCTGGAGTCGTTATTTCCTGGGGGGAAACTCAAAGATAATAACATTAGCCAAGCATCACTGGAACTTTAAAATATCTGACTCAGACCCTTGACTAATGTGCGTGCGTAACACAATCTTCTCTAGGCAAGAGTAAAGGTTGATAATCAGCCTGGCCTTTCTTTGAAATGCTTTTGTTGGAAAAGGTTGATTAGCGAAGTAGGAAAACAGGAGGGAGACTCAGGTCTGGTTCATAACTCTTAAGTTTATAGAGGCTGTGTAGATGGGCGCAGGGAGGAAAGAGAAAGCTTTTAAGATAAAACCCTGTGGGGGCTCTGTTTTAGTGGCATCATAATACTGTCTTATTCTACTTTATTTTTTCTCTCACTGATTTTACTGGATATTTCTCCATGTTTACATGTGTAAATCTGGTTTATTTATTTTTGGCTACTGATTAATAGAGACCCCATCATCTGTTTTCCAAACCCCATGGACCCAGAGGTGCTTTAAAATTTTTAAATTGTTTGGAGTTTAGACAGATAATACATTCATATACCACATCTTACTTAACACGCCCATTGGGGTGTGGGGCAGTATTTCATAATCAAACCCATTCATTTGGGGGACAGGAAAACAAGTGGAAATTTATGCTCAGTGGCATAAATAAAGACAATAAATAGCCTCATGGCAGTTCAGGTCAGGTTTTGTTGCCAAATGAGTTTTGACATCAAGTCAGAAAAACAAAAGCCTTTTTGGTGTTTGGAGATTTTTGGATTTCAGGAGACTGAGAAGGCCTTGTAAACCTTCATTTTATGTTTATCCCACATTTTATTATCCAGTCCCCGATTGGTGGGCACTTATCTGTTGGCCAGTGCTTCCTCATCATAGACAATATCTCAGAGAACATTCTCACATCTGTCTCTTTATGCTCCTGCCAGGTAGGTGGCAGGAGGTGAGATTCCTTTGGAGAAAATGTGAGATCTCACATAAAAAATTACTTCAAAAAGTTCATGGAAAAGTAGAATTGAAAGATAATACAAATCTTTCTATGAATTTTTGAAATGTCTTCATAGGACATGCTTGAATGGGTGTCTCATTCCTGTGTACAATGGCTTAAAGAGGACAGTAATTTAGGGTCTTGATTTTGGTTCACTGCTGCCTGATACAACTTTTCATGATGATGGAAATATTCTATTATCTGTGCTCTCTAATGTGATAACCACTAGCCACATATAGCTATTAAGCAATTAAAATGATGTTCGCTTGACTGAGGAACTGAACTTTAAATTTAATTTAATTTAATTTTTTTCTTTTTTAAAGATGACTGGTAAGGGGATCTTAACCCTTGACTTGGTGTTGTCAGCACCAGGCTCTCCCAAGTGAGCCACAGGCCGGCCCCTAATTAATTTAAATTTAAATAGCCACATGCAGTCTAGAACTTTTTTAGTCTTACGGAGTATTAAAAAAAAGTAAAGGTCAACAGCAAAAATAAAATTATTCTGAAAACTATGGAAAGCTTTAATTTCTTATGTAAACTTGAAAGAAAGTAACAATTGATTCCTTAATGCATATTTAAGTGGGTTGAGGAACCCATCTTTATTCCATGTAGGTGAAATTTCAAGTAATTGAAACAACTCCTTGACACCTTGAATGAATCCAAAGATTAAAAAAAATTTAAATACAGTGAGTAAATTATACCTTCTTTTCAGTGAATTTACTGTTACCTTCCTTATAATACATATTCTTTAAAAAGTATTATAGAGAGGAAACTTTTTAATGGTATCATTTTTAGAAAATGTAACATACATTTATTTTAACAGGAACCACTGAAATAACTGTTTGAATTTTCAGGTATGACAATGAGAGATAATATTAGATTATACTTTCAGGTGACCACAAAATCTGACGGGGAGGACCCAGAAGCTTTGCTGAAAGAGGAGATTCCCGAGCTATAACTGAAGGTCCAGTGGAACTGGCCAAAGGAAGGAAGTGGGGAGGAGGATTCTAGGCAGAAGGAACTGGCCAAGTCTTTGAAGATGTTCCCACATTCTGGGAAGAGCAAAACATTTGGTACATAGAGGGGAGACAGCAGTAGCACTGAGGAAAAGAGGCAGAGGTGACCCACAAAAAAACACTGGGCAGCAGGTATGTGGGACTTTGAGCACATCTGACTCCGTCTTAGGTCATTACTGCTTGCTATGTCCTTTTGAGAGCTTTGCCCTTACGGTTATACAGAAACTAGGGGAAAGGTAGTTAAAAAGATGGATAGGAACAATCTGCTGACTGAAGAAATGATTAAATACTGGTGTGGTGATAAGATGACCTGACTGCCCTCATTGGAGCTAGTTATGTTAAGCTTGTTTACGAACTGCTTATATGAACCTGAGCTCAGCCTTGAGTTAGCACAGAGAAGATTGGCATATGTCTTTGGGTTACTGTCCACTCGACCTGTAATTCTGTAAGTTATCCTGTAATAAAGTTCTTTGCTTTACCTCATGGAATGGCTCAGTTCATTGTTTGGCCATGAGATACTTTTCCAGTTAGGGGGACCACGTGCCCTTAGTCCACCTTTAAAAACAGGTACCAAATTCAGCCCCAGTGTGTAGCGGAAGTACCTAAGGTTCACAGATGTAATGGCTGGCTATATGTGTCTGTGATTTTTAATTTTATGTGTCAGCTTGAGTGAGCCACAAGATGCCCAGATAGCTGGTTAAGAATTATTTTGGAGTAGTCTGTGAAGATACTTCAGGAAGAGGTTACCATTCAAATTGGTGAACTCAGTAAAGCAGATGGGCCCTCCCCAAGGTGGGTGGGCCTCATCCAATCCGTTTAGGGCCTAAATAGAAGAAAAAGGTTGATTTCATTCTCTGTCTAACTGGTTGAGTTGGGACATTAATTTTCTCCAGCCCTCAGTGCTCCTGGTTCTTAGGCCTTCAAACTCAGAATGGAGTCCACACCATGGACTCTCCAGCTCTCAGGATTTTGAACTACACCACAAGACTTCCTAGGTCTCCAGCTCACAGAGGGCAGACAGTGGGACTTCTCAGCCTCCATAATTGTAACATTCAATACCTTATCCCCTATTGGTTCTGTTTATCTGGAGAACCCTAATACAGAGACATAGCCAGGCTTCCAGGCTTTCTGACTTTTATTTTAATGCTCTAATTGCACCATATTTCCTTGGTGATAGGGCATGGAGCCCCAGATGATCATGTGGGAGACAAAGCAAGGGCAGGGAGGAAATCCCACATGCCCAATGAACAAGGTCAAGAACCAGGATTTTCTTTTTCTACTCTGTCTGGATTCTCAGAAATAGACTCTGCTCTTCCAAGGGAAGAAATCCACAGTTACAGTAAATGTTATCTGTTATCAGTTGGCATGCAAAAGATATTTGGATAATTTAGCTAAATAGAGACCTATTAAATTGATAGAGGGTAGCTCACAGAATCCCAGGAAGACAGGGGAAAAAAGCTTGGAGGATTCACAAAATGGAACTAATGCTGAAAGCTGCTGAAGAACTAACAGGTCCTGTTCTGCAACACCACAACCATCAGAAGAGATGTTGGACTCTGCTGCCCAAACTGCTTTCATTGATTGTTGACCTCGAATAAAGGATGTAACTATGCCACAGCCACTGCCCCAACAGCAAATATCTACCTCCCTAATCTTTTTGTAATAGTTATCCCACGTCCTGTTAAATACTGGAAACAGCACTTCAACTGGTAGAGCTGGGGTGATCTGACTGTATATTGCCACAAGGGGACCTGGGAAGGTAAGTGTTGGGAATTTTCATGCAGCAGAAGGCAGTGTTTGCCTCCCACCAAGAGTCTTAAATTGAATCTTAACACAGGGAACTTAGAAAAGACATTCAGTTGTTGAGAAGCATCCCCCTCCCAAGTAACAACAGTCTACAACATTGCGTGTAGTGGTGACACTAAAACTGCCACTCTTGTATTGGAAGATCTCTTTCTGCTGAATTCACTCCCATTCCAATGTCACCTACAGTATTTAGATTTTCAAGGGACACAGGATGCTGGCATATTAATTTTGTGCAAAATGTTCTTTCCTGTCTCAATCTCTGTCAGGTCTACCTATAGAGACACCCTTAGTATAGATCATAAATTATATCCTTCTCAACTAAATCTGGTTCTGTTGGAACTACAGTGGGGCTTAGCCACTCCCATCTAAATCTTCCCAGGGGTGCTAGAGAGAGAGAAGAGCAGGTAACTCACAGAGGAAGAACTTTTACAGTTTTTTGTCACCTTTTATGTTCCCTCTTCCCTCACCCACCACACACATTCATGCAGAGGGTAGTTGTATTGCAGGTGGCTATTTGATGATAAACTTTTGCTTTTAGGTTAAATTACAAAAAGATCTGTGGCTATAAGCAGAGAAATAATTTAATTATGGAAGTTAAGCTCCCTCCCTTGGTAGACAATTTGAAAAATAAAGAGGA